CAAAAAGAAAGAAGACAGAGGGTGGAAATCTAGCAAGCAACCTTTCTTCTATTTACTTTTTTGTGTTTTACAAATATTCTACAAAGTATAACTTATTTTGATGGTATGGGATTTAAACTCAGGGCTTTGCATGTAGGCGTTCTACCACTTGAGCCCCGACACTCTCCCAGCCCTTTTGACTTTGAGCTGCTTTTCAGGTATGTTCTTGAGATTTTTTGCCCTGGCCAGCCTCACAGCATGATCCTCCAACCTAGGCCTCCATGTAGATGGGATTACAGGCATGTGTCACTATGTCTGGTTTCTTCTTAGACTTTTCTGAAAGGTTTACTTACTGCATTTAAAGTTTTGGTGGCAAATACTTTAAAAATAAGTATATATATATATAATTATGTATATACAAATATATAAAATATATATTTGCTTTAAAATGTTTGTGTCTGATGACTTATAATAATCCCAGCTACTCAGGAGGTAGAGAGCAGAAGGATTGCAGTTTGAGGTTAAAAAGTTAGCAAGCCCCTATTTCAAAAAACCAGCTGGGTGTGGTGGTGCACTTCTGTACTCCCAGCTATGCAGGAGACATAGGTAGGAAGAGAGAGATCCAATGCTAGCCCCCGGCAAAAAAAAGCATGAGACATTATCCAAAAAATAACTAAAGCATAAAAGGGCTGGGGGTGTGGCTCACTGGTAACGTGCCTTCCAGGCAAGCACAAGACCCCGAATTCAAACGCCAGTAATACCAAAAGCAAAACAAAACAAAAGGTCTAAAAAGGGAAATGTGGCTTGTAACTGTGAGTTGCAGAACTGTGAGTTGCAAATGTACAGATCTGATCAGAGTAGGTAAGGTGAGGCCACATTTCAGTGACAGATGACCGTCAAGTCTTAAGGGCTTGAAACAATGACAGGGCTTTAACTGTTTATTTTTCCTACTGTGTGGTTGCTATGGTCTGAGTATTCTGTCCTCATAATTCCTATGTTGAAATCCTAACCCCCAAGGCTATAGATTAAGTGCTGTGGCCTTTGGTTGATGATCAGGTCACCAGAGCCTTATGAATGGGATTAACACCTTGATAAAGACCCCAAGAGATAGTCACCCCTTCCGCCATGTGAGGACACAGCCAGTGGCACATGGATGAGAAAACAGGCCCTTTCAAGACACAGAATCTGCCGTGGTCTTGATCCTGGTCTTCCCAGCTCCAGAGCAGTGAAGACTAGATTTCTGTTATTCGTAAGGCACAGTCTAAGGCAGTTTGCTATTGCGGCCTGAACAGGCCAAGTCAGTGTCCTCCATGTGTTGTGAGCAGCCTCTGTCTGGAACTCAGCGAAGCTCCTGGGCGGGGGTGAGCATGCCCAGGGGCTCAGAGCTTCTGTCCACGCTGCACACAGCTCTTCTGCTGTCAGTCATGTACCTGTTCTGTGCTTGACAGGGTAGAAAAGCATGGTCCCCTGCAGCGGGAGGTGCAGTTTGTCATCTGGGTGTCAAACGGCAAAGCAAGGCCCCTCAAGTAGAGAAGGGAGCTCCGAGGAAGGCAAACAACCAGCATTTGTGAGTGACCTCCTGCCAACTGTACCGTTTCTCTGTAATTCTCTCTGTGATCCTCTGAGGTATTCCATTCTATGCTTTCACAGATGAGGAAACTGAGGCCCAGCAAGGTTAAGTAAGTAATTGGCCTAGGTCATGCAGCAAACAGGCCAAAGAGACGAATTTCAGACTTGTGTCTGTGGATTCTGGTGACCCCAGGCTGTCTGCCAGGCTGGGCTGGATTTGTCAAGTATGTTAAAAGTCAATGCCCTGACTGGACACATGGTCAAGGTCAAATCCATAAGACAGAAGTAGGTGGTGGTTAACAGGCGCTGGGGGAGAGGGCTTGGGAAAAAACTCTGGAATGGGTACATGGCTACAACTGGTTTTTTTGTTGTTGTTATGGAAATGTTTTGGAACCAGACAGTCTACTGGGGGGGGGGGCAGAGATCAGGAGGATCAGGGTTTGAAATCAGCGCAGGCAAATAGTTCCAAAGACCCTATCTCAAAAACAAAAAAACAAAACAAAACAAAAACCCAAAAACACCCCACAAAAAAACAGGACTGGTGGAGTGGCTCAAGTGGTAGAGCACCAGTCTAGCAAGCATGAAGCCCTGAGTTCAAGCCAAGCCTCCGTGCTGCCAAAAAATTTAATGTTATGTTATGTGAATTTCACTTTCATTTTAAAAACTGTAAAAGCTACCGAGACAATGCCAAATTATTGGCAACACCATCGCACTCCACAGATCCTAAATCCCGGAGTCACAGTCCCCTGGACCAATGCCGGTAATAAGCGCATCCACTTTATCCCGAGCTCCCGGTGCTCTGAAGCGCTCTGGGACAATTCTCAGGATTGTTGGCTCGCGCCAAGCCACTAGTTGTCGAGACTGGGGGGGAAACAGAAATGCCCTCCAGCCCCGTGATGCTGCCAGGCCCTAAGAAGAGGAAGGCCATTGTCAGGTTGACGCCATGGTCCCCGCGGTGTGACGCGGCGCGGGCCAGGACCTTCTGTGCCCACGATGCTTTTCTTGGCTCTGGTGACACCGGTGCGGCAGTGGTCCGAGAAACGTGGTCCCGCCCGGGGCGGGGCGGGGCGGGGCGGGGCGGGGCTTACCCATGGGCGGGGCCCAGGGCGCCTGCGTCACTGGGCGGGCATGGGGGCGGGGCGTTGTTGGTGGGCGTGTCCCGGGGCGGGGCCTGCGCCGACGCCGGGTCCGGCGAGGCCCTGTGCCAGCGGCGTAAACTGTGCTGGACGCGGCGTAGCAGGTGAGCGGGCGGGCAGGGCTGAGAGCGCGCGGCCGGGAGAGCCCGGGGTGGATCCGGGCCCTGCGCACGCCGGGGGACGCGGCGGTCGGCTTCGGTCCCGCTCCGGGCTGTGGGCCCTGCTGCTCGGCGCTTGCGGCCTCTGCGGCCTCTGGGGGCGAGCGGAGGGCGCAGACCCGGAACTGGGGCGTGGCAGGAGCGCGGGGAGCTGCCCGGGCCTCTGGCCTCGCCCCCGCGCGCTCCCGCTGCGGGTGCCCCAGCCGGGGTGGGCGCGGGGCGAGCTGTTAAAGGGGCAGCGCACGTGGGTCTCGGGGCTGTGGCGCGGCGTTGCTCGTCCCTGTTCCCTGCGACCCCACGGCGCCCGGTCCACCCCAGCACTGCCTTGCGCGGGGACGGCGCGGGGTCTTCCCGCCCGGGAGGAGCGGGCGCCAGGCAGGGTCGCCGGGCCTTCCTTACTGGGGCGTTCCGGTGCATTTGCAGCCGGTGGGAGACGCCCAGAAGCAAGCATTTGAGGCTGAAGGAACCCGAAAACAGAAGCAAGTCCCCACTCCGAATTTTACTTAGGAAGAAACCCTGCCCTCAGAGCTAAAGTGACTTTGCCCAAGGTCGCCCAGGTAGGCTATGGCAGATCCAGGCTTAGAACCTGGTGTCCTGGCCTCAGCCCTCAGTTACGTGAAACGATCCTGGCTCTCAGCTTAAGCCTTTGTAGGCATGGACCGTTGGTTGATAAAGTGACAGCATCCCGGTTCACAGATAGGGGATCCCGGAGCATTCCATACAGAACAGTTGCAGACCAGTTTTACTCTAAGCCAACACTCTGGGACACAGAGGTTGTCCCCAGGGTAATATGGTGAGGACAGACTCCAGCTTCAGTATGGAGCCCCCCACGTGTACACAGTCCATTGTGTGGAAACCTGAGCCTCTGAGGCACTGGGCCAACACCTTTTGCAGTAATTAAAGGCTCTGAGTAAGCTGCTTCAGGTGTGTGAGCCTCAGGTTCCCCTCTGCGAGCAGGTGGCTTTATGGGAGCCTGAGAAAGAGTGGTAGCTGTTGTGTTTTCTGGCTCAGCTTGTGAAGGGGCCAGGGGTCCTGACTTCAGCCCACAGCTGGCAATCCGGTTTGTGCCTTGACTTCCAGGATGGAGGCAAGAGTTTGGGGGCTGGGTTGGGTTGATTTCAGATTTGGAGGGAAGCTTTGCCCTTTGTTGAAGTGCCAGGTCCCAAGTCTAGAGTCTGTGTTTGCCGGTGAGGAATGAGTGCCCTGTTTCTTGTGCATTTGAGAAAGTAGGAAGGGGAGGACAGGGAAGGGCCTGGCCCAAGGCTACTGCCTGCTGCGTCTAATGGCACTGGGTCTTCCTGACCCTTTCCCTTGGCCCATGCTGGTGCTCACAGTGGATAAGTCTCTTATCCATCTTGGCCTTGCTCTAAGTTGGTGTTGATAACTACGCAGTCTGCCACGTAGCCATTTTGTGCAGTGGTTATCACTTACCATAGGAACTTCAGTAACTTAGTTATCACTGTCCTTTTACAGAAAGGGAAACTGAGGTTTGGGGAGTTAAGCAACTTGTCCAGTTGTGTTGCTTCCATGCCTGTGAGCAGCAGGATTTGAACACAGCCTACCGTCATCTCCATCTTGTGAGTTGCACAGGCGGCTTCCCACATTCCACTCCCATGCTTGTGCCTGCACTGCTGCCCAGAAGGTTTCTGTGGGGTCCCTTACCAACTTCCTGAGAAACTGGGTAAAAAAAAAAATATTTTTTTAAAAGAAACAAAGCTGTGTGTGTAGGTCCCATGCATGTTTCTAAAGAGAACATCTGTGTCATTGTCAGCTGTTGCTTTGAGTTTGGAATTCTGCTTAGTTGGACAGGACAAATATTTCTGAGTTCCCTGGGCTGCAGGCCCTGGGGGACGGGCGTTGGGCTCAGCGGTACCCTCATGGACTCCATGCCTGTGTAACTTTGGCCTTAGAGTTGGAGACGATATCACTGGCACATGAATACCTGGGGAGAAGAATAATTTCATGCTAGCCCTCAGGAAAGACTAAACTCAGTGAGGAGACCATTTTTTGTAGCCTCTTCATGGACTGGGAGAGTTCAGCCTTGCTAAAATTGTTGAGCAGGGGAAGAAAATTTAAAGGTGCTCACCTTTCTGCTCCACCCTAGCCAAAAACTTCCTTTTTTTTTTTTTTTTTTTTAATAATAGTAGTAACTGGTCATTCTAAAGATTCAGGTCACTGGCTATCCCTCAGTCCCAGATTGCCTGTCTTAACACACATGTCTTTTCTGACTCCAGGCACCTGCCTAGAGTCATCTGTTAAGACAGTAGAGGTAGGAAAGTGTAGGTGACTTTTTTTTTCTGTTCATGTTACACCTTAAGAATGTTCCCTGCATTGAGTATGCTAATGATATAGCTTGGGTGTTCAGTGTCCCCAAAGGGAATTGTGGAACCCTACCCCTCTCATGCGGTTCCTTAGCTTCCTGGCCATGGGGTGAGCATTTCTTCCTTCGCCTCTCCACAGGCCCAAAGCAGCAAACCCAGCCGACCTTGAACTAGAACCTCTAAAACTGTGAGCCAAAATAAATCTTTTCTTTTTAGAAGTCGATTGTCTCAGGTGTTTGTTATAGTAACGGAAAGCTGCCTGGCACGACTTGGAAAACTAGTTTTGATGGGTTAGGGAGAGGCTTTGATTGTGTCCTTAATTTTCTTGCCAGTCCTATGGCAGGACACTTATTTTGAACGGCCTGGAGAAGCAGTGCCCTGTTCGCCTCCCCTGACCCCCACCACCCACAATCCTGTCATGGCTACACATGGACACTCCCCACCTTGTACAGCACAGATCTGCAGCAGGAGGAGAATAGAGGGGTCCTGGGCAGGAGAGCTTTACTGAGAGTAGTGAGCTGGCATGCCGTGAGAGGGAGTGAGTAGGGGCCTTTCAGACATATACTTGCCCTGGCCACTGTGTGTGTACGCCTCATGACGCCACATACCAGGGAAGGGCTCCTCCATGGGTCATGTGGAGACCTGTGTCATAGCTATGGCTCTGCCATGGGACCTTGGCCAATTCCCTTTGACCTCTGGGCCTTGGTTCCCTTAGCTATGAAGCAGGGTGCTGACTGGATGACCTTTGAGGTCCTCGCCAGCTTTGACGTAATCTTACAGTCTTAGGTTAGGGCTGGATGGAAACGGGATCTCTCCCCTGGGCCTGACCCTTGGAAGCTCATGTGTCTGGTGGCTTAGCAGATCCTGGCTTCCCAACAGGGGCATCAACAGGCTTTCGTAATTCCTTCTCTCTGTCCCTCTGTTTTGTTTTCCTTAACTTCCATTTATTGAGCACCCACTGTGTGTTGGCCACTCTGCACTTATCTCAGTTTTCACAGTCCTCTGTTTTTTATGGAGGAGGAAGTGGGCCCTGTCAGATTAAATCGTCCAAGGCTGTGCATCCAGGACACAGATCACACAGGTGGGTGACTTGATCCCTGTGCCTCCAAAGCCTCTGCCTTTGACCACGGCTTCCTGCTTTTCATTAAAAAAATAATCTGGTCCCTACTTGAGAGCAGTATGTGAGGGGCTCCTTCTGCCACTCCCCACAAACTGCCCTTCCCAGTCTGCTTCAGTGAATGAGAGGCTGCCTGGATCCCAGGCACTTCCAGTAGGAGAGAGCTGATGGGTCTGGGATCGGGAGGCTCCATTCGAGGGTCCCTGGGGCCTGTGTTCCGGGAGGGCAGGGCAGAACTTTAGGGCCAGGGACTCAGGTCTGGCTGAGGTCTCCTTCCAGTATTGGGGAGCAAGTGAGGTGTGTCATGATATGGGCTGGGATGGATAGGCAGATGGTCAGATTCACAGTCAGATGCCCAGAGCTGGGGGTGAGAAGTGGGCAGGGAAGCTGTGGGACTCCTCAAGGTGTTACCTGGCCTTAGCAAGTCTCAGTGTCCAGGGAGACTGGGACTTTCCAGCAGTCATGAGAGTGCTGAAAGTGTGACCATAGACAGAACCCTTTGAAAGCAGGAAGTGTTGTTCAGCTCACCTTTTTGGGAGGAAGAAACCAGGTGTCTGGGCTCCAAACCTGCCTGATAGCCACTCCCAGGTGGTCTTGGACTCTTTCTTTCCATGGGCACCGAGGTTTGCCATGTTTTAAAATCTGTTTCCAGTCTAAACACTAAGGCAAACCTTTGCTTTTCTCTGCAGTGAAAAGGAGGTCAGGAAACTGGGTCACCGGGTTTCCATGATAATTTCAGGAACTGCGGACACCTGGGGGTTGGGAACTTCCCTAGGTTTGGCTAATCTGCATTTCAGTCTCATTCAGTGGTTGAATGAAAGTGAGCTACCCTGCTTTGCATGTTTGCACTGCCTAATCACAGGTTGCATCGTTAGCCCCTTGCGGAACAGGTGGGAGGTGGTCAGAAGGTTTGACATCAGCTTTGGAGAGGCAGGGCCCCCCACTTCCCTGGGAGTCAGGCTCCCGGGAGTTCTCTGCGTCACTTTGATGAACCCAGCAAGGTTGTTTGTCTGCTCTTTGGGTAGATTTTTCCCTCTAAGGATTTTAGTGCTTGCAAAGGAGGCTCAAGAATTCCCAAGGAAGCAGGAGCGAAGCCCAGCCCTCTCATGTCCTTCTGTGTCAGAAATCAGGGCTATGGAGAAAATGTCAACTGCTGCATGGGTTCCCATCTGTCCCCCAGGCCAGCGAGGCCATCAGGAAGGGGCAGAGGGGAGAAATCTCAGTGTCAGTGTTTGGTGTTTCCCTTGAGAAAAGTACAGATAATCCTTCTCTACTATAAAAACTCAGAAATGCAGAAGAATACACAGTAAAAATAGTTCACAATCCCACCAGTCTGAAATAATCACCTTTAACATTTTGTAATATTTTTTTATATTCCGTGAATTTAACTTCTTTTTGTGTTCTGAAGTATTCTTTGAAGTAAGATTTGTAATAGTCTATATATAGTCCCATCAGAAGGATATGCCGCAGTCCCCCTGTCTGTGGAGGATACACCCCCATGGACACATGAAATTTCAGATGGTATGGAACCCTACGTATACAGTGTAGATGATAGAGGATCATTTATAAATTAGGTACTGTAAGAGATTGACATTAATAAAATACAACATTTATAACATTCTGTTACTTGTTATTTAAAACTTATGAATTAGCCTATTTGTAGAATTTTCCATTCAATGTTTTTGGGCCACAGTTGGCCACAGGTAACTGAACACAGAAAGTGAAGTTGCAGATAAGAATGACAACCATGTCATAGAACAGAGCCGGACATCTCAAGTGTTTTCACTTTTCTTTTACAGCGATAAAGAATTGCAGCACATGTTTTTGTAAATCTTTATTATTTTCTTAGGACAAATCCTGAGAAGTAGCATTTCAGGATCAATGAAATGCTAGCGTGAGTGTTTTTTTTACAGCTTTTGGTTCTTCCTGCTTTCAGTAAGGTCAGTCCTGTGGCATTTGGCACCTTATTCTCCTGTACCCTTCTTCACAGCACGGATTCTTTAGGGGCCTCTTCAGCCTGAGAGCTTTGCTGATCAGGGAACTTTCCTCTCCTCCTGCTGTCTGACCAGGCTGGGATTCAGGAGAAAGAGCTGTGTGCTGCTTCTCCACTTCCAGCGGTCCAGTGATGCTGGGCTGTGGGGCTACAAAGGTAGTGGTGAGGAGGCGCCCTGGCCTTACTGAGCAAGGCCCGCCCAGCACTCGGGGACCATCTCAAAATGCAGTTCCCCACACATTGGATTAGTGTGGAGCTCAGGGATCTGTGTTTTTAATACATGGCCTAGCACAGTGCCGAAGAGCCCAGAAACAGTACCTAGGTCCAAGGGTAACCTTGAATCAGTCACATTTTATTTTTTGCCGTGCTGGGGATGGAACCCAAGGCCTCACACATGCTAGGCAAGTGCTCTACCTACCACTGAGCTTTCACCCAAGTTGGTTGTATATTTCTGTGGTTGGTCATATATACTAATCTTTTTTTGTGGATTAAAAGGCTAATCTTATGGTTTTTAAATATTTCTTCCTAAAAAACCTGTCTGATCCTGAGGAGACCAGGTCTGTGTGGGTCAGTGAGTGTGGATGATGCTGACAGTGGCTACCAGGTGGTTTTCCCTCTGTCCAGTGCAGTGGCACAGCCCTTCTTTAAGCTTACTCACCCCACTGCATCCTTTAGAGATGTCAGGGAAACTGAGGCAGAAATGCTTTCTAGAGATGTCTTGTTAGCTATTGGAAGTTGGTAGGGTGTAAACCTGCTTGGTCCTGAGTGCCTACTCCTCTGTGCCCACCTCCCGTTAGCTTTAATGCAGCATCTCTGCTCTGCTCACCTGTTTCTCTCCTGCACTGCCACATGGGGGTGCACAGAGGAAGCTGTGCCCCTTGTGAGTTTGAACCACAAACTTGCCTGTCCTCCAGGGTCGCAGCCTGTCACATTGCAAATATAGGACCTCCCAGTTCTGCCCCTCCAGTTACTGCTACCCCAAAGCCTGGGAAGAGCAGGAGGGAGGGTGTAACTTGCTAGTCCCCAGGAACAGGGCAGAACTGATACTGTGACACAGTGTCCGAGAGCCACTGTGCTTTCATACCATCCAAGGCTCCATTCTAGGAAAATGCACCCAGCTGTGTGTTTGAGGTGCCCCTCTTTTTTTTTCTTCATTGCTAGGGATGGCACCCAGGGTTTGGCACATACCAGGCAAGTGTCCAGCACTGAGTACCTGTCTCTCAGTAAGAGAATTCACCATTGCCTCAGGTGTAGTGTGTGTGTGTGTGTGCGTGTGTGTGGGCTCTCAGGTCCAAGTAGGTATTCACTTAGGACATCGCTGAGGAGACCAAGCCTCCAGGAGCAAGGAGGACCTTAGGTCTCCTTTGAATCCCACATGATAGTTTCTTTTCCACAGGTGAAGGAACTAAAGCTAAGAATTCCCAGACCTCTCAGTGAATGGGGGCAGTGAAGCTGTGTTCAGCAAACTCAGCTCTGTTGTGTAGACTGCTGGTTCCAACGCCTGGTCTTCAAGGAACAGCCTCCCTCCTTGGCCCTGGGCTCTGCCCTGTCTTGGGGAATCGATGTGAAGGGCAGGGGTCCACAGCCACCTCAGGATGCACCGTGCTGCACACTGCCTGATAAGGACTTTTTTGTTCACATGCTGTGAGACACCTGGGCTGGCCACACTGCCAAACTAAGCTTCTGCCTTGATCAGGCACCAAACCCCTCCCTGGAGCAGTCCACCCTACCAGACCCTCATTTGACCACATCAGATTGCTGGATGTTGTCAAGATAGACCATGCCGTGTCCCCATGTCCCCTTCTCGTGCATTCACATAAGTAGTTACCTTTTCCTGACCTAGGTCCATGTCCTGTCTCTCTAAGTCCTTGAGAGGTGGAGGCCTAGTGGCTGGGAGCTTCTCTGGGCTCCAGAAGTGCATGGTTCTTCTTACCTCCCTTGTACTCACACTACTTGCCGCTGCTCTAGAAGACGCTAAGCAGAGACTTCTGAGGCTGGGAGCTTCTTCACATTGGTGCCCCTGTGAGCTCACCAGGGAGCTGTTTGCAGTAGACCTGGGTTAGGGAGGCAAGCAGAGGCCAGCCCTACTCTCAACTGTAGCAGCAGGATGGAGGGGAAGTTTGGATGGGAGTCCAGGCCACAGCTGTCGTCCGTCAAAGAGTGACAGGTACAGGCCCTGCTAGGAACACAGGACCTGCCTGCTTCATTTGAAACTCATATGAATTCCAGGGGTGACTCGCCTGGAGATAATTTTTCAGCAGAGACAGGCCTGGCATTCCCCAGCATCATGAAGTCCAGTCAGATGCTAGGGGCCGTCTGAAGCCCTCCCCAGCCTTGAAACCTGTGTGAGCACTTGGGGCTGCACTGGCTTCCACCCTACTGTGCAGCAGCCCGAGGTGGGGAGAGGCTTCCCTCTGTGGTCTCTTCTGTGTGGGTACTCCTGGCTCCTACCCCGCACACATGCAGGTATAAGCAGCTCACAGGCCCCTGGCCTTGGCTGTCTCTTCTGAACTCAGGATTCTTGTCGTCTTGGCCTCCGAGCTCTGGACCCAGACGTTCCTGAGATGCTTTCCCCTTTTAACTGTAGACACTCAGTGGTTCCTGGATCAGTTCATTTTTCCCTTAAAATCCACCTCCTGCTCAGTGTAGGCCTGCCTAGCTCTTCCCAGATGCTGTCCTGTATCATACCCCCATGTCGGGTCCCCTTCCATTTGTAGTCAGTGGCACCCTGACATTTGTAGACTCAAATCTGGTCCTTCATGGTGGTCCAAAGATGAGGACGTCTTTGACGAGGCATGTGAGCCCTTCACACCTCCATAGGCTCTGCCTCACCCTCTGTCCCACCAGCAGATCTCACCTCCAGCAGGCATTTCCACTCCAGAAATGTTGCTGGTCTCTGACATGTAGTCCTGCTTTGTGTCCCTCCACCTCTTGGTGAGCACCTGTGTTGTGTCATTTGTCACATTGGATGATTTTTTTTTCTTGGTTCATTTTGTAGGACAAGATGGTTTCTTACTGGTCTTTACCGTCCCAGAGCCCAGCACAATCTTTGTCACACAGTCGCTGTCCACAGATGCTTGTTGATTGAATGAGTGAAATGCGTTGACAGTTCAGAGTGGCCCAGACTTTTTGGGTTGTTGCTTTGCCCCCCCGTGATATGAATCTCCTCAGGCCAATCCCACACAAGGTCACAGCAGCATCAGTGGTGGCTCTTGGGGACTCTTGCTTTACAGCAGTCGTTGGCACCTCTGTCTCAAGCTTGCACACCGGACCTACATCTGGTCTTCAACCTGCTTCCAGTCCCTCTCCCCCCAGCCTTCCACTGCGTTTTCCTCTCAGGAAAATAGAACAAGGTCCCTGTGCCCTTCCCAGGTGCTTCCTAAGGGGCCATGCTCTCATTCATGGCCTCTGACAGCGAGGAAGAAGTGTGTGACGAGCGGACGTCTCTGATGTCGGCTGAGAGCCCCACACCCCGCTCCTGTCAGGAGGGCAGGCAGGTTCTGGAGGACAGAGAGAATGCCCAGTGGGTAAGTCCCATCAGCAATTGGAAGCCTTGAAACAGGGCCAAGGGGTTCCTAACCTTTGTGGGTCTGGGTGTCCCCCAAAACCCGGGTGTTCAGGCTGTCCCTCAGCAAGGCGCTGCTGGGAAGTAGTAGACCTTCGGGAGGTGGACTGAGTGGGGGTCTTCAGGTCACTGGGGCTGTGCTTCGCAGCGATCTTGGGCTCTTCTCTCCTCTTTCCTGTCCTGACCGTGAGGTGAGCGATTTTAAAGCCCCTCCATGTAGTTCTGCCCAAGCAACTGATCATGGACTGAAACCTCCAAAACTGAGCCAGGTGAACCTTTTCTCGTTATGGGCTGATTATCTCAGGTGTGTGTCAGAGCGATGGAAAGCTGACTGACTCATGGATGGAAACCAGGCATTCCTCCATGTGAGGAGCAGGGAGGGGCAGTGTCCTCACCACCAGGGCTTTCCAGTAGTCTGCACAGTCACAGTCTAAAGTCGGCTTACCCTGCTACCCCTCCAGTATAGACCATTTTCAGGTACTGAGAAGGACACTGGGTTCCCAGAGGCTGAGACAGGTAGCACCGAGCTTTAGGATGGTAGGAGAGAGAGCTGTTGCAGGTAGGGACAGGTCCAGGGTTGGGACCTGTAACTGAGCAGAGTCTGCCCAAGTCGTGCTTGACTTTGAGTTGGAGCGGGGGCTGCACCGTGATCTGACCCTGCAGACCCCAGGCCGGAGCAGCCCTCCCTGTCGGGCACAGCGGCATCTGAGTTTGTGTGACTCCCATTCTGTTTGCCCCCTGCAGTAGTTACACTTTCCTTCCAGCCAGCCTTTGTCCCCGTGCTGAAATTCAAGCTCTTTTCTCCTCTTCTGCTCAAGCATAGCCTCTGTGCTCCCAGTAAACCTCATCAGTTCAAAGCCACTGCTCTGCCCTTCCTTACAGGATTTCTTCTCTCGATCCTGGGGTGATTGTGTATTTTAGTTGTTTCAGTTCCTGTCTGTTTGCAGCCATCCTCCCCTTTCTCAGCTGAATGTCTAGATTAGAACTCTGTCTGCAAATAACCCCTGCAGGCAGAACCATTGTGTTTTGATTTTTGTCTCCGTTGGCTCTTTTTTAGCTGTGAACCTGATTAATAATAGGCTGCCATTGGCCCTGAATGGCTACAATTCCAAGATGGAAATTCCTTCCAAACCATCTGTGCCAGTGTCTGTCTGGCATGTGTCCTGCCCTTGCCACTCTCCCACCTGCCCCAAACCCAGATCTTTTCAGATGTGTGGCATCCATTTAGCCCCTTTAGTTGAGACTGCATAATTTTTGGGGGCAAAAAGTTCAGAGTAATTTCTTCCTCTGCCAATTCCCAGCATCTTTTATTTTTACTTATCTTTTTGGTGGTACTGGGGTTTGAACTCGGCCTTGCACTTGCTAAGCAAGTGTTCTGCCACTTGAGGCACACCTGCCGCCTCCCAGCATCTTATTCACAACAGAAGGGCATCCCTCTCCATCCTGCCTCTTCTGGTCAGGGCTTCGTCAACCAGAACATTACCTCTGTTTTCCCCTATCCCCTGGCCTGTCCCCTCCCAGGTCAGCATGGCTGTAGCATCCTGAGTCCCTAGGGTACCTGGCAAGAGAAAGATACTTTTGATGTATTACATATTCATTAGCCACTGTGTCATGGGCCTGCAGGTGACACCCTTCATGGCCACAGCCTCCTGCCTCTCTCCAGATCCTGAGGTTTTCCTATGTCCTGACCTTTGGCCCTCCCCACCCACACTACAGCTCAGCCTACTGCCTATATCTAAAATGCCACAGATTTCTCATTTCCAGTTCTGAAAACCCCTGCACTGCAACAGGTGGCTCGCTGTGGGGGCTCCATGGCCCTCACAATGTGGTTTTCCTCAGAGGAGCCAGGAAAGCGAGGAGGACTGTGAGGAAGACCCTGACCAGTACGTCTGCAGTGGGGTCCCCGGGCGGCCATCAGGCCTGGAGGAACAGCTGGCCCTGAAGTACGGGGCGAAGCACGTGATTATGCTCTTCGTGCCTGTCACGCTGTGCATGATCGTGGTGGTGGCCACCATCAAATCCGTGCGCTTCTACACGGAGAAGAATGGACAGCTGTGAGTTGGGGGGCTGGCAGCATGGCTGGGGGAGGTGGGTTTAGGGGCCACAGGCTTTCTGGGCTGCTGCCGACAGCTGCAGGCCTGTGGCCGTAAAGAGCAGGGATGAAGGACTGCCCGGACTCACCCAGGCGCACTGTGTCCTGGCCATGTGACTTGCCTGGGCACACTCCTGTCCTCTGTTTCGGCAGGGGATAACTGGGGTTTGAGCTCAGGGCTTTGCACTTGCTTGGCAAGTGCTCCACCACTTAGCCATGCCCCCAGCCCATGCTGCAGTCCTCTCTGTCCTTGTCTGTTTGATGGGTGTAGTGATGGGGCTTCCTAGAGAGCTAGCGAGTCACTGCACAAGGAAGGCTTCAGTCAGACCCGCTGCAAGCTGAGCACTCAGGTGTGCAGGGTGGACTGAGGTGAGCTCCGTGTGCCAAATGCTGGATCCTGGCCCACCGTGCCACCAGTCACCACATGGACAGGTCACTTCCTCTCTGGGTCTGCTCCCTCGGGTAGAGCAGACGATGATGTGTGCTCTTCTAGCCTGGTGAGGAGGACTTGCAAAGCCTTGTGTTCAGATAGTGAAGGTGACAGTAAAGGTGGAAGTGCAGCCTCGAGGGGAGAGTCCCTGAGCCCCCGTGCTCCTCCCTGGAGCGCCTCTCCAAATAACTGGGCCTTTTCGGTAGACACTTGCTTACTTTTGACTTTGTTTCCTTGCTTTTTTTGTTTGTTTGTTTTAAGAAGAGAGAAGCCCCCACATCCAGAAGCTAGTAGTGCTGGGCCCTGGGCAGCTCAGTGAAAGATATGGAGAAGACTTGGTCATCATAGCTCCCGGTGTCAAGGCTGGGGAGAGTGGGGAGGTGTGGACAGAGTGTACAGAGCCATGGTGCAGCCCCTGGGCCTGGTGCGGGGAGGGCAGGGGAGCAGGTGGTGAAGGAGGCCTGGGTCAGGTGGGGCTCATGAAGTAGAGGTGGAGGAAGCACTGCCTGGTGGTAGGGACCAAAGCTGAGGGGGTGTTAATCTGGTGGGGAGGAGTTTGGGGTCCCTTTGCCATCAAGTGGAGAGCCTCAGGTTGGGAGGCCAGGAAATGGACCAGAGGGCAGGGACTGTTCACAGGGATGGCGATGGTGCTGTCAGGGCCCAGCCAGTGGGAGACTGTGCCAGGTTCCTGAGTTCAAACCCCAGTACCACCAAACACAAGTAAAGTACATACATTATAAAAGATAAAAGATGGCAGAGGGCAGAGCTGAGACCCTCTCTTGACCTCAGCATCTACACACCCTTCACGGAGGACACGCCTTCAGTGGGCCAGCGCCTCCTCAACTCCGTGCTGAACACACTTACCATGATCGGTGTAATCGTGGCCATGACCATCTTCCTGGTGGTGCTGTACAAGCACCGCTGCTACAAGGTGAGACCCGGCACCCACGCCTCGCCCTCCCCGCTGAGCCCTCCCTCGCCAAGGCGCCTGCCCAGAGCCCCTTTCTGCTGCAGAACAGGCTGGCTTTCGCCCTCTCCCTCCCACCCTGTACCCCACCACTTTCTGACTTTCCTGCGGCGTTTTGAACTTCACAGCACCCACCTCTGAGTCCCTCCTCGAGGCCTTCCCAGCCCACTTCTGCCTGGAGTTTATCGTCCTGTGTCTGTGTCGAGTCTGTCTTGGGCTGCCTTCACAGGCGCCTCGCTTCCAGGTGTATTTTATTTTTCCGTTTCCCTTTTGGGCAGGGTGATCACATCCCACCCTGAGACCTGGTGCCCTGGGAGTTTGTGGGCCAGACTTCCTGTAGCCGTGGAGCTGCCCAGGGAGGAGCGGAGAGGCTGATTGCCTGCCTGGTCATGCACACTGTGTGTCCTTCGGAGTGTCAAGCTCTGGGACACTGGTTCCAGGAGGTTAAGTGAGGTGTTACTGATTGAAAAACTGCTGACCACAGGTGCAGCCGCTTGTGGACTAGGAAGAGATGGAGAGTGTGCTGGCCCAGCTCGGGTGACTTGGGCACGGGTGGCTGACAGGAAGTCAGTCAGTACCTGTGGCCTGTGTCAGGGGGGCTGTAGAATGGAAGGAGGAGGCATGGGGTGGGAATGGGGTGAAGGGCTGCTTGCTTGAAGCATAGCCTACAGCACCCAAGCTGGCATGGGAGTATAGAGACCTGGCCCTGATGGGGTCAGCAGGTATCATGTGACCAGCCACAGGGACTGGGAAGAGGTAGCCTAGCCATCCATTCAACAAGGTTCAGGGGCGTTCTGGAGATGGGGGTGTTCCACTTTGTCAGGTGGCCCAGTTGATGCCTCCCCCTTTGGCTGTGTGTGCAGCCCAGTGAGTCGAGCTGGAAGGAAGTGACACCATGTGTCCCTGAGCTGACTTGTGGTCTGGTTTAGAGTGGGCCCCACCCTCGTTCTTGACCTTCTGTGCTTGGCCTGGAAAGGAGGATGAGTTTTCTGGGGGCTGTGGGTGTGTTCTTGCGGGAAGGGTGTTCCTAAGTTGTCTGTATTAAAAACTAGCCCTCAAAAGTCCTCCCCTGACCACCCAGCCTTAAGCAGCCTCCTGCATCCTGGCCCTGTGTCCTGCCCCTGTGCTACCTGCAGATCTGTTGACTTTTTATGTGACGTCTGGTGTCCCTCACCTGGAATGCACCCCAGGCTGAGACTTTTGCTCCCTTTATTTCCAGAGCCTGGAACGGGCCTGGCAGGTGGGAGATGCCCAGCACATCCTTTCTAAGTGGTGGGGGCAGCAGTGGGTGATCACAAGCTGGGGTCAGTAGACACCCCAGGAGGCTGACTGGAGAGAATTCCCTGAAGGTCTGGACCCTCCTCACCCCGAAGCTGCAGCCTGAGGTGGAGATGTTTAACACTTGCTCCCCTAGCTTAGGCAGCTGCTCCAGGGGCCTTGTGGGTAGATGGGCACTGTGAGGTGTCCTGTTTCTGTCCTCTAGTTTATCCACGGCTGGTTGATCATGTCCTCCTTGATGCTGCTGTTCCTGTTCACCTACATCTACCTCGGGTGAGTGGTGGCTGGCAAGCAGCATGGTCCCCGGGGGCCCCTTTCCCGGTGGCCTCATTGCTATGAAGGACTGGACAGAGAACAGTGGCCTTTGGGAGCCAGTCCTCTCAAGTGTCAGGAGTCCAGGCCTCAAGGCTCTTCCCCCATGGGCCTCCACACAGGAGTGGGTCTCTGTAGCGAGCCATGAATCTTTGGCTCCTGATTTAAAACAAAGCCGTCATGGAGTGGGGCTCTATGAATGCCAAGCGGGTGGAAACCTTTGAAATTTACACTTGACTTTTTGGATTAAGCCTGAGTGCTTCCTAGTTTACATATAAAACTTCCATGTTGTCTTTTGATTTGAGATAACCAGCCTGACTCAGTGGTCCAAGGAGACTGGAGGGTGGGAGAGGACTCTCCCAAGGTCTCCATCCATGGGCAGAGGGTCTGGCACACGTTTATTTACATGAGCACCCCACGAACGAGTCACTAGCTCACTCCCTTCCTTCCAGAAGATATTCGAGTGGTTAGTTGTGGAGTCAGTGGGAATGGAGGAGGGGAATGTGGAAGGTAGGGCCAGGTTGGAAAACGAGGTTGGAACTCAGTGGCTGGGGAACAGAGAAGCTTCCCAGCATGGCTTCATCTTGGCTCCACAGGGAAGTACTCAAAACCTACAATGTGGCCATGGACTACCCCACACTCCTGCTGACCGTCTGGAACTTTGGGGCAGTGGGCATGGTGAGCATCCACTGGAAGGGGCCTCTGGTGCTGCAGCAGGCCTACCTCATCATGATCAGCGCGCTCATGGCTCTGGTGTTCATCAAGTACCTCCCTGAGTGGTCGGCCTGGGTTATCCTGGGTGCCATCTCTGTGTACGGTAGGTGGCAATGGGCCAGGCTGGCTGGGTCTCTCTCCCCGTTACACAGGGAATGCAGGTATAGGAACGCTTGTACTTCCCCACACACACACACGCCCCCACCCCCCACCCTGGTCCTCAGGAGGCCTGGGAGACTGTCCTCTGTGACACTGGGCCCTGGTGCTCCAGAGGTGAGTTCAGTAGCAGCCTCGCTCTGTGCCCATCACTGCTGACGCACTCACCAAGCGTCACCAACCGTGAGGTCTGAACCACTGAGAGTGCTGGTTCCTCGGGACAAGCCTGTGTGCTCTGGGCACCTGCGCTCCCCATGAGTGACCCAGCCTGTTGGTTGCTGCTGAGCTGGGGTTACACCATTGCCACAGCCAGCGTCTTGAGTCCTATTTTAAGGATAAGGGGTTCAGAAGTGGGACTTGCAAGCACATCCTCTGCGTCTAAGGCCCATAGCTCTTCCTTGTTTACATCTATCTCACTCTGGCTCCAGCCATTGCCAACTCTAGATTGTGACCAGAACTGGTGGGCTTGGGGTGCCAGCCCAGCACAAGGAATGTTTTGAGACTGCCCTGGGTGTTGGTGATAAAGAGCTGGCCCTCTCTCAGGGCTGCTCAGGATAACATGACAAATATGTCTCTGTTTTCCCAGATCTTGTGGCTGTGCTGTGTCCCAAAGGACCACTGAGGATGCTGGTGGAAACTGCCCAGGAGAGAAATGAGCCCATATTTCCTGCCCTGATATACTCGTGTGAGTGGCCCTGGTCCTCTGCCCAGCGTGGGGCCACAGGCAGGCTATGGTGGGGACACAGGGCTTGGCCATAGCTCTCAGATTTGACGAGAAATGTTTGCTCTTTCCCTGACAGAAGACCTTGGTGGCCCCCACAGTGGGCTGCATCTTGCTCAGGAATTTACTTGGAAAGTCAGAGTGGGAAAGGGGTGTCTTGGTACAGGGCGACCCTGTGACCGGGCAGCACTGTGGCCTTCAGAATCTACAGCACCCCTTTAGCCCTGCCAGTTCCTAAGGAGGGCCTCAGAGTGGGACTTAGGGGAATGGGGAACTCCTGCTTGTCCTGGGGCCTTCTGGACAATAGATTGGCTGATGGAAGTTGGTCATCTCTGAGGGGAAGGCTTATGATGGCTTCCAGCCTCAGGGTCTGGTAGTGAGGTGTGCATTTATATATGCAGTCAACAAAGCACCTGTTTTGTGTCAGGTTCTTACCTGGTGGCCTTGGTACCTGACCAGGTGTGGCCATGGCCCAGCAGGAAATGACCACATGGTCCAGGCTCCTGGAACTTGCAGCCCTATGTTGGAGACACCCCTCAGCTGATGGCGGGCATGTTTAAGTACAGAGCTGAGTTTCTAGGGGAACCATCTATGGAGTAACTTCAGATCTGAGTGATCTCCGTAGAGGACTCGAGCTTGTGGGGAGTGACCCGCAGCATGACCACGCCTGAAAGCACCATCTAGGTGCATTCTGAGGATGGCCAGAGTGGGTGTGGAAAGACCCCCCGGGTGCGGGGCCATCTTGGTGCTGGGGCTCTGGGGATCCCTGCACAGATGAGGGCCTTGTCTGATGGAACCTTCATTCCTGAAGGGGAGACAAACAGCAAAGAAGTAGACAGATAGTCAGGAGGTCCTGAGTGCTCTGGAAAAATAAAGCAGGTAAGGGACCAAGGGCTTCAGGGTCATGGGGGAAGGCTGTTTTGTATAAGGTGGCATTTGACCAGGGACCTTACTTAGGTAAGGGAAGATACTATGGAAATCTGGGGCCAGCAGCAGCTGCAAAGGCCCTAAAGTGGGCATAGACCAGGTGTGCCCAGGGAACTCCCAGAGACCAGTGGTTGGAGAGGGGAGCGTCCAGGTCCCATGAGCCCCTCCACACCACAGCCAGGACTTTGGCTTTTGCTCCTGAGGGAGATGTGATCCACTGGAAGATTTGGGGCCGGCTTGCCTTGACAGTGTAACAGGGTGGCACAGGTAGCCCAGTGGAGAGCAAGGCATAAGGCCAGGAGCAGATGAGGGAACAGGTTTGAGCCAAGGAATGACCCGGGGAGGGGAGATAGGTTTTCATGGGCAACAGTGGAGGTGGTGAGGTGCAGCTGGGGGATTTTGGAAGCCGACTTGGCCAGGGTTGTTGACAGGCAGGAGTGGTTTGCTGAGGGAGCAGGTGGTGGAACAGGCAGGGGTTGCGCACAGGCTTGGGGAGGAGCAAATGTGAGACCCTTGCTGGATGTCCAGGTGGAAAGCTAGAGATACAGAGCAGTGAGCTCAGGAAAGAATCCAGGCCAGAGAGGACTGAGCAGGGCTCAGGTAGGTATTCACACACCAGGGTCTGAGTGGGGGCAGGGAGTTTCAGTTTGGCCAGAAGGAAAGAGCTGGCTGTGTGTTCACAGGAGTGTGAGGCATTGAGCTCTACTCAAGTGCACACTTGAACATGGTTACATTTGATATTTTTGGTTTTTCACTATGATTTTTTAAAGGATTCAATTAGTTCACCAAACTGTTCACTGATAATTATTATTGTTCTAGCTATTTGTGAGGAGGGAAAAAAAAGACAGGAGTAGTACTGGCTGGCCAGTGAGTCCGGCCCCAGCCCCAGCGGCCTGCATCAACAGAGCCTGAGCAGATGTCTGCAGGGTAGTAGGGTCTCTCCTGGGTTGGGCAGCCCCTTCAGCACTGCCTGAGGACCCTGGTCTTCTTCCCTAGCCGCCATGGTGTGGACAGTGAGCATGGCAAAGCTAGACCCTTCCTCCCAGGGAGCACTCCAGCTCCCCTACGACCCAGAGATGGGTGAGTGTGAAGCCGACAGCCTTGTCACTGGTCACTGGGGCGGCTCCAGGCTCAGGTCAGACTGGTTTCTGGGGAGGGCAGAGGGGCTTGCTATGGGAACCCAGCTGGTTTGAGGGAGGGTCGGAGCATCCGTCCATGCCCAGCTTCTCTGGCTTCTCTTTGGTGGGCAAAGCTGTGGGTAGGGGCAGAGGCCCTGGTGCTGGGCTTTGTTCCTAGAGGTCTGGGGCCCTCTGACCAGTCTTTGTCTCTCTCCCTCCCCTTCTCTTCTTTTCCCGGATACCAGAAGAAGACTCCTATGATAGCTTTGGGGAGCCGTCATACCCTGAGGTCTTTGAGCCCCCCTTGCCTGGCTACCCAGGGGAAGAGCTGGAGGAAGAGGAAGAAAGTAAGGTGCCCACGTTCAGATGGTCTGCCTCAGCCAAGGTGGTGGGTGGGGCTCCCTGAGGTCTGTGTGGGGTGGACCCCTTTCATGTCCAGGAGGCTTTGTGAAGGCCAAGGAGACAACTGCAAAGCCCTTAGTCTCATTGCCAGGCCCCAATGTCAGGCTCGCTGTGTTTATCAGACTGGGTTGAGTCTGGCTGTGAGCCTGTACTGTGCCAGAGGAGGTGCAGCTTGCGGGCATCAGGGCTCAGGGCCAGGCAGGTGCCAACCACATAACTGAGGACTGTGAAGGAGATTGTGGGATGTCAGGAGGGCCAGAGTGGGGCTTCTGACCTTGTCAAGGAATGTCCCCTGAGGAAGTGGCTTCTGAGCTGAGCTGGAAAGATAAGTAACAGCCTGGCTAGATAGAGGAGCTCAGGAGGCCATTCCTCTGAGCACAGCTATGGCAGACTCACTTGGAGTTCAGCCAGGCAGGACGCAAGCAAAACTCCAAGGGCCTTGTAGGTCAACAGAGTCTGGCCTGTGTCTCCATGGTCCTGGTGGGCCTCAGCTGGGGGGGGTGAATGAGATGGGGAGGGGGTGACTGTGGCCTCCCACTTCTGCCTGGAAGCACAGCCTTGAGTGGCCTGAGGACATCATCCCAGTGTCGGATCGGGCAGCAAGCTAAGGGTCTGGGCCAACAGCGCAGGTCACACTGGTAACAGTGTTGCCTTCACCACAGGCCAGGGGCAGGGTGGTGGGATGGAAAGGTAGATGTGAAGTCTTGAAGACAGAGAGATACGGCTCTCTGAGATATGGCTGTTTTCCCAGGCGATTAAAATAGGCACTCACCAGAGAGCAGTTCAGGACCCCACTGTGTGCCAGGTGGCCAGAGCTGCCAGCTACTACAGGGTTACAGCCTCTCCCGCCAGAGGTCTGGGGAGCAGCTGGGTGGGGTGTGCAGTCAGTGCCAGACCTCTACTGGCCAGGAGAGAAGATCACCACCAGCAGCCAGGCCGGGGACTGGGACAGCACTCCACTCAATGCCAGCTGGTGGCCTCAGCTCGGGGCTGGTGCCGAGAGTCAGCACAGGTAAAGGGTGCCATCCACGAAATTGGCTTCCCATAGGCACCAGCCACAAGTTCTGGGGTCTGCAGGCCACCTATACTTCTGACCAGCTGGCTGAAGAGTCCCGTGACACCCTCAGGGTCAGGAAAGCACTGGGCTTACAATTGCAGTTTTATCACAAGGGGTGGCTCCGGACACACAGGTGCCGGTCTGGAGGGTCCTGAGGGCAACGCTCCCATGTGTTCTCCTGGTGGAGCAGGGCCCACCTCCTCCTGGCATGTGGGGGTGTTCCCTGAGCTTTGGTGTCCACCATTTTTATTGGAGCTCCTTGCATAGATACAATTGCCTGACTCTGTCCACAAACCCAAACCTCCACCTCCAGACTCGGCTCTCCCTGAAGGTCAGGCCCACATGGCTGGTCTTGTGAATAGACCCTTCCTTGTCTGTCTCAGCAGAGTCAGGTGTGATCTTGTTACTTGGGAAATGCCAAGGGCTTGGTCCCAGGAACCAGTCAGACAAAAGCCAGCCAGATTCTTCAGCAGCTATGGCCCAGAGGCTGGGGTGAGGGTATTCAGGGAGCTCCAGGCCATGAGGTAGGGTCAAGCAGAGAGTGTGGTAAGTAACTGGAGCATAGTAAGAGCCAGAGTGAGCCTTCGGAGTCTGCTGGACTGGGAGCTTAGGTTTTGCCTGGAGGTGGTGGGGAGCTGCCAGGGGCTGTAAGAAGAAGCCATAGGAGAGAGCTCAGGATCACAGGCAAGGTACTTGTAGGTTTCCCAAGTGAGCTAGGAAACGCTCCCACCTTAGTAGTGAGTGAGCTGACTCCTAATTGTGCTTTCCTATTGTTAAGGGGAAAGGGTCTCCAGAAGGTCTCTGTCACAGTATTTATTATCCGTGTTCTTGAAAGCAGTGAAACGTAATTTCCTAACATGCATGGGAGTTGTTGCGGCCTGAGCCAGCTGGCTGTGCATTATCTGCCTTTTTCCTCAACCAGCTGTCAGCCTGCTGTGCAAGGCACTTTGGTCTCACGGTCCTTGGAATTACTCCTCCCTGGTTGCCACTTTTCAGAGGCAGCCGTCCTTGTCCCTGGTCTGCTGGCTGTAGGACTGCATTAGGGATGCTTCCCCTTGTGGCTGGGCTTCTGTGGCCCATGTACCCATCCTTCCAGCTGGAGGAGTGGCTCAAGTGGTAGAGCACCTGCCTAGCAAGGCTGAAGCCCTGAGCTCAAACCCCAGTACTGCCAAAAAAAAAAAAAAGAAAAGCATGTACCCATCTTTCGCCTCCTCCCTCCCCACCCTCCCCTGCCTGCTTACTGTCAGGGCTCTGGAGCCTGAGCAGCCTCTTTCCCTCCCTGCACAGGAGGTGTGAAGCTAGGCCTGGGAGACTTCATCTTCTACAGCGTGCTGGTGGGCAAGGCAGCGGCCACAGGCAGCGGGGACTGGAACACCACGCTGGCCTGCTTTGTTGCCATCCTCATAGTGAGTGGGGATCCCTGGGGCCTTACTGGGGCATTTCTAGCTGCTGTCTTCCCTCTTAGGGACAAAGGCAGTGTGGGAGAGGGGGTGGCTGGCAAGGAGATGCTGAGACCAAGGCTTCCAGGATGTGTGGCCGCAGAGATGTTCTCTGCCCTGTGGGACCACACGGGAGGGTACAAGGGCTCCTGCCTCAGTGACCATGTGCCTCAGTGCCAGAGCCAGGCTGAGAGCTGTGGGCTTGTCCCTGGGTGCCTGAGGTTTGTGGAAGAGGAAGTAGCTAGTGAGAGTCTTGCTCTCCCACTGCTTGGCTGATGCTTCACTTCCTGGGGTTTCCGCATCACTGTGAACCCTGGCAGTGAAATCTGGAGGGCAGGTGCACATCCTGGGGAGGACCTCACCCTGCGAGCACTTCCTTTCAGATTGGAGCAGGTGTAGTTTCTGAGTTGCACAGCCCTGTCCGAACCTGTCATGAAAGCCCTGGGTACCAGGGTGGTCGGTGCTTGGTGTTTGGAAGAGCTCATTCTGTCCACAGGGTAGGTCAGGGATGGGTCAGGGATGTCACAGACCCCAGACCCTTCCCTGCCACATTGTTTGACCTGCTGTCCTTGAGGGCAGGACAGATACTCTGTCCCTGTCACCACCTGGATGCCTGGGACAGAGGTGGGATGACTACCTCCATGCTTGTTTTCGAGGGGACAGGCCACATGGCATATTTAGTTTCCTTGGTGGTCATCACTGGCACTGTGGCCATCTAATCCTCTTGTAAACCAATGTTCCCTACAGTGCCTCCTGCCATCTGGTGACTGCTATACCCAGAGGGGCTGCAGCACAGCCTGGCAGAGCAGCCAGCTGCCTCTGGGGTTTGGGAAGTGGCTTTCAGTGAGGTCCTGAGTGAGTGGGGCAGGTGTCCTGATAGGGGGAACCTTGTGGGGCTGTTAAGAGTCAGTGAAGACAATGGCATGTCCAGCACTGTAGCTGGCCAGTCTTGAATAACTGTGCCCAGGACAGGGCTAGTGTCTTTCCACCTGTCCAAGCAGAGGGGTCACCCACCCTGCCTCTCGTTGGTGTCCTACAGGGCTTGTGTCTGACCCTCCTGCTGCTTGCTGTGTTCAAGAAAGCGCTGCCTGCCCTTCCCATCTCCATCACCTTTGGCCTCATCTTCTACTTCTCCACAGACAACCTGGTGCGTCCGTTCATGGACACGCTTGCCTCCCACCAGCTCTACATCTGACCGCGGGGAGTGGTAACTGGGATCTGTAGGGAATCTCGCTGGATGCCGGTGAGGCTTTACACTCTAGTGCCATATATTTTTAAGACTTTTCTTTCCTTAAAAAAAAGAAAAGAAGTGCTTTGTTTACTCTGTGAAGAGAAAGTAGACACTGCTTTTTGGTGCTAGCTGCGTTGTCACCAGACTGTGGATCACCCGTGTGAGCGCCTGGAGTCACCACAGGACACAGCGATGTGGGAACTGAGAAGTTGCAGGGTGGGTCTGGAGGAGGCTGCCTGGCCATCCAGGGCAGAGCAGAGAGAGGTATGACCGGTGGGGACAGCAGGCCATGCTCAGGGAAGCACAGAGCACCGGTCACTGTGGCCAGAGACAAGAGCCAGCTCTCTGTCAGAAATATCCCCACCACTTGGTCCCTGGGGTCACTGTAACCACTTTTGGAAGCCGAGGCCTGTTTTTGTCACACAGTTACTGCTGGGAAGTGGCTTAATGTTCTATCAATAAATAGATGCCTCCTGTACGGTGTCAGCGTTGGCTTCGTGGGGAGGTTTTGGGCCTTTTCCTGCTCTCACAGCTCTCCTGGGTTGACACATGCTATGGCTGGGGAGGGAGCTGTGTCTGCTTTGTTTCTCTGCACTCACGTCTTTGTCTAGAAAGTTCCCTACACAGAGGTGTGCAGAGAACTTGTGAAAGGCCTCATGTCTCATGGCTCTGGAGTGGACGACTGCCGGGGCCAAGCAGACCCATGGCCTTGGCCTTGACACTGCGCAGTGTCAAACCCTCCAATGCATTGCAAAAATGATTGTTCATTCAGTAAATGTCTGTCCACATGGGAGCTGGCGTGCTGAGGGGGCCATGGGAGAGCCAGGTTAAGGAAGCCACTCCCCTTCCTTCCTTGGTGCAGCTCTTGTGGGCCCTGCACATGGTGATGGACAGGCCACCTGTGCATCAGTCACAGGCTGCAGAGTCTCAGAAATGCCTCCAGGTGGGGACATGAGCCTGGAAGCTGCGGAGCTGGTGCCTGTCCTGCCAGACTGCTGAAAAAACACATCTGTGCCTTGCAGTTCAAACGGTTGTTCCAGAAATCACGTGAGGGGCGCAGATTGTGTGCTGTAAGAGAAACGAACATATGCGACTCCATTTTGACAGCGTGCTTCAAAGCGGAAGCTCCCTGAGCTGCAACCGGAGGCTCAGGGGAGGCCTTGGAGAACCGAGAAGGGAGGATGGGGACGCCGCATGCCGCTGGGGTGGGTGGTGTCCCTCTGTTGGCAGCTGGAACCCGGTTCACAGAGCAGAGCGGAGACCAGGAGTGATGGCCTCATCTCAAGAGCCAAAGCAGGGAACAGCTGAGGAGGATAAGGAGGATACTCCCTGGAGGTGGGAGGAGATGATTATCACAATGTTTTTGTTCCAAGAATGTTCTGAGGGGTTCCAACGGTGAAATTAGTGAATGCTTTGATTCCAGTTCAAGAGCCCCTCCCCAGGTTGCCCAGCACTTTGCAGTGCTGGTTCCATTTTGGGGGATGGGACTGGTGTCACTTTTGGGTTTCAGTTGCAGCGAGGTGAAGCATTTCTTTAGTGCATTGCTGTGTAGGTCCCTTGTCTGTTACCTGTGTTCATAGCCTTTGCCCATTTGTCATTTGGATTGTTTGTCTTTTACTTACTAAGATTTATGTCTCTTAAAATGCGTAATGCTGGAGAGATGCTGATCTTTGGACAGTTATGGTCACATTGCATAAGACATTTCAGTCAATGACAGACACATACATGATGGTGGCCTCTTAAGATTGTGTGGTCTAGCCAGGTACCGATGCTTCGTGCCTGGAATCATCCTTGGATAGCTACTTGGGAGGCTGAGGTCAGGAGGATTGAGGTTTGAGGCCAGCCTGGCCAAAGAGTTCTTGAGACCCCATCTCCAAAATACCTAGGAGGTGTGGCGCAATCCATGGAGTACCAGCTTTGCAAGTGCCCTGAGGAATTCTGGTGCGAGTCCCTGACAGCATCTGCTCCCGATATCCTGGGGGCCAAGGGAGTAAATGTGGAACTTTCCAGCTCTCCTAAAATGTACGAAGTGCACAGCTGTACTGTGTGGCCTGTGGGGATCAGCACACACATCTACTGGGTAGAAAGGTGTCGCAGGGGAGGCCCTGAGCAGCCGAGCGCCGGCAAGCTGTTCTCTCTCTCATCCCGCCCCACACTGGGGCCGGAAAGGAGGAAGTTGTGGGGGTGCTGGGAGCTCACCTGTCCCCTGGAGCTATGACACCACTCTGCCCTGCTACCCAGGGTGAAAGAGTCTGGGAATGTGGTGGTTCTTTAACCATCACAGGTGGTCACTGACCCCTGTGTGGCCTAGGCAGCCTTCCTGCCTGGGATCCTCTGCCTTGGGCTTGTCACTGCCTGAAGTCCAAGGAACTGATGGAGGAGGACCCCGCGTCAGGGCTAATTCTTACAGCAGTGATCCCCAAAGTGTGGTCCCAGGCCTGCCTGGCCGGACGATGTCATAGTAATACAGAGATGTCCTCTTGCACGTGCGGCTGGACTCTCCAGGAGCTGTGTGGTGTGGGATCTCACCAGGGGTCATGTGCAGAGCGGGCACAGAACCCAGCTCTCTTCCATTCTGCCATTCTACTTACACTGTTAAGGATAAGGAATCAGGAGGCCAAGGAGGGTGGAGAGTTCAAGGCCAGCCTGGGTTATGTAGTGAGACCCTGTCTTAAAACAAAAAGGTAGATAAATGCTATTCTTTTATTAAAGTTGTTTTTGTTTTGTGAAGATAGCTATTTTCATAAAGTCATATTTCTTGTGCTAACATGAAATGTTTATTTTTAAAGGACTTGGTACATGAATTGACCCACAAAATGAAAGGTCTTTGAGAGTCCTCAGAACTCTATGTAAATGTAAGGGGTCCTGAGATGGAAAAGTTTAAGGGCTGTCACCTCTGACAAGGGGCTACTGCCTTGTCTGGTGGCCTTCAGCCCGGTTCCCATAGGGGTCTCCCCAGGCTCTGTCCTCCATGTGCCTGGAATCCCCACTTCTGTCAGCCATGCTCCAGCTGGCCACATGGGGGGAGCAGATCCCGCTGCCAGCCACTGTGGGGCCCTGGAGCCAGCGTTCACTAGGTCATCCTGTGACTCCAGGTCCTGCCAGTCTCTGGCTGGGACACAGGAGAAGCACAGTCATAAACCATGTCCTTGCCCTGACCGGGGCTCAACCCCTGCATCCTCCTTTGCAGGTGCCCGCCGAGATGACTGGTTTTTCCATTCAGACCCGGGCTAGAGCTGACTGCAGCATGGGGCTGGTGTGTTTGGAGAGCACGGTAGCTCCATGGTGGGCAGAGCGGAGCAGAGACGCCTGCTTTCCAAATTCTCAGCTGAGCCTGAAGTGTTGGCCTTCTGGCCGTTGGCTTCAGGGAAGGGCGGTTGTCATGCTGTGCTGGCAGCTTTCCTTTGCTGTGACAAAGTAACCGAGAGAAACCAATTGAAAGGAGGAGAGGTTTGGGATCACAGTGTCCACAGGTCTGGTCCATGGTCAGGTGGTTGGGGTTGTTGCTTTAGAGCTGTAGTAGCACAGTGCAAGGGCACTGGTGGAAGAAACCTGTTCACCTATGGCAGCCAGGAAGCAAAGAGAGAGACAGGAAAGGACTCAGGTCCCAATATCCCTTCAAGGGCATGCCCCCAGTGACCTCACTTCCTCCCACTAGACCCCTCATCGTAAAGGTCCCCCCACCTCCAGTAACGAGCACTGTTGCCTGGGGACCAAACCTGCAACACCTGGGCTTTGGAGCCATCTCAGATTGAGGCCATAGCTCTGAGCTTGGACATCTGGACACAGAGCAGGCACCACGAGCCATTGCAGTGCTGTCGACTGTTGTGCAGGGCTTGCCAGCCAGGCCCTGGTAAGCCCTAGGTATGCGTCATCTAATCCTCAGAACAGCTACAAAGTGAAGAGTTGCTTTACTCCTTTTATGGGTGAAGAAACAGACTTGGAAGAGCTAAGCAGCTTGCCCAAGACCACATGGCGAGAGAGAGCCAGAATGGAAACTTGGGTTGGCCTAACTCTGAAATCCACTCTCCCTGACACACACCAGCACTGGCCGTAGGGGAGGCTAGGATCCAGAGCCAATCCAGCCCCTTCTTCCTGGGCACAGGTCTAACCACCCTCTTTGTCTTGTTTCCAGAACTTTACTTTGTCCACTCTGCTGATTTTCTCTTGACCTGCTCAAACTCTCCAGCACCGTTTGTCTAAAATACTCAAAACTGGACACTCACGGTTTTGGAAGTCACACAATAAAGGAACTAATTTTTTTTTTGTGGTGGTACTGAGGTTTGAACTCAGGGCCTCACGCTTGCTAGGCAAGTGGCTCTATCACTTGAACTTCTCTGCCAGCCCCAGAACTAATTTTTTTTAGAGAAGAGAAAAGATAGGGTTAGAGGATAGAAAGTTAGGTGTAGAACAGTAAAATTATTTTCCTGCAGGAATTTTGATAACAAAGCCCTTTTGTAGCTCTAGTAACAGAAGTGTAAGACTGAAACATCACTTGGTTACTTCTGGCTTTTGCTTGAGTAATTCATACTCTCTCCTTCTGTCTCTCTCCCTTGTCTGTCTCTCTTTCCAGTCCACAACTTTTATTACCTTTCTGATTGGTTGTCTCGGTGAAGGAATGCCTCACCGTTTGGTAGCACAAAGTATCCGTGCCGCTCGCAGCTTCTTCCCCATGTGCTGTGCCAGCTCCATGGCGATGTGGTTAAGACCGCGAGCAGGTTCTAGTGAAACTGCTTCCTTAAGTGGTTTCAGCATGGCCGTTTCTGGTTCTGAAGACACCGCTGAAGGAAGCACCTTCCGCCTCCTGGTTCAGCCTCATGGTCTCCTGCCTCTGCAGTCCTGTTGACCTGCGTACACCTGGCTCATCGCTCGCCCAGGTGGTCAGCTGTGAGGATGACGCCTCTGCAGCCCGGTGAGAACCCATCAGCACTCTGCACTAGAGTGTCTGGTGATGACGGAAGTGCCTGGGACTGTGCTGTGCAATGTCACCACTGGCCACTTCCGAGCACTTCAAAGGAGGCCAGTGTAACGGGAACGCATTTTGAATTTTAATTTAAATAGTTACGTGGCTAGTGGACG